TGCGTCCCTCGGCTCTCCAACCCTCGGCGACGAAGGCGTCAACGGCCTCCTCCTGAGCCTTGGCGACGGCTAGCGCCTTGGAATCCTTGGCCTCTTTGGCAGCTCTCCTGGCCTCCTCAGCAGCGGCCTCGGCATCAACCTTGCTCTTTTCTGCGGCCTCCAATTTTAGCTTCATTTGCCGAAGCTCCTCTTCTAGCCTGGCCCCCAGCTTCACGGCCTCCTTGTTTTTGAGGATACACTCCCTCATTTTGGCGTCCTGCTCCGCTTTATGGAGGCGCCATTCTTGAAGCCTCCGGGCCTGTTCGCCGAGGGCTAGACAAGCCTGCGGATCAACAACAAAAACGGTTAAAGGCAGTCACGCAAAATGATCAAAGGAAAAGAGGAAGAAAGCCGAGTGAACACTTACAGAGAGGGAGGAGCGGAGAATGTGGTCTTCGAGGGCCGCATCATTATAAGCCCCGAGGGCAGCCCTATCCGTCTCAGGGGTTATGCCCCTCAAGATGGCCCCCTGGTCAACAGCGCCGCTGGCCAGAGATGTACCCCTCGGAAGAGAAACATGGAGGACCTCAGGCAGCAACTCCTCCGCCCCCACCGGCGTTCCACCCGACGGCTTCTCCACATGCACCCCGGAGGCGGGGTGCTCATCAACAATCACGACCGGGGGCTCCTTATCGGTGATGTCCCCCTTCTTCGGCTTTTTGGTAGCCGGGGGGGACTCCTTGGCCGCCGCATTCGTCTTGCTGGCAGCGGCATCGCCCTCGGATTTCTTGATGAGGGCAGTGGCGGGCTTCTGGTTGCCCTGTCCCGACCCCTTCGGGTCCTGTTTCTTCAGACGCGCAAGGCCCTTCACGTTCACCATGGACACAGGGATACCTGCAAAAATACGACAAAGGATTAGGCCGACGGGTCTACAACGAAGGGACAATGACATCCAAGCAAAAAAAAACTAAGTACAAAAATCTAAAGCCCTCAGCTCCTACCTCCGGCTCCTCCGAAGGCCTTGTTGAAGAGAGGATACTTCTCGTCGGTCTCCCCTATGAAGCGGTACCTTCGGAACCCGAGGGTGTATAAGTCTTCCTCAAGGGTGCAATCTTTGATCGCCACATTCTTATTCTTCCCTTCCGGGAACTTGGCGAGCTTTAGGCCGTCTTTCTCGAGGGCAGCACTCCTGATCTTTTCGTGCCTTCGGAATCGATCGCGCAGTTCCCTCGGGAATGGGTTCTCGCCCAACTTCACATAGCACCAACGTTCCCTCCACCCTTTGTTTGAAGAAGGGGCATCGGAGAATAGTTTGAAACGGGCGATCTGCTGCAGATTCGCGTATCCCTCACCGTTCTCGTGCCCCCCTCGGCACAGATTAAAGCTCTGGAAGAATAGATCCAGGCTAGGCTTCACCCCTCGGGACTTGCAGAGCTGGAGGAACCCCGCAATGTAGGAGTGGCTGTTGGGCGTAAGCTGACAGGGAACCAAACCAACAAACCTCAGGTACTCCCGAAGGAACGGGTGCAGAGGGAACCTAAGTCCCATAGAAACCGAGAGGATGTGGACGGCGATACACCCCTCGGGTGCCCTGGACAACACGTCGTCAGGACCCGGCTCCACCACTTCGGCCGAGGGCCCCACGTGCAGCTGAGTAACGTACAGATCTGCCCTATCGGCTTTCGACTTAATCTCGAGGGCCTCGGTGTTCAACCAACTGTACCCCTCGGGCATGTCCACTGGCTTTCCTTGATCAACAGCCCTCTCCTTTTTGGTAGCGGCCTTCGCTTTCTTCTTCTTCAACCCGGAAACTGCCCTCAGAGGTGTCGGATCTAGCGGCCTCGAGCTACTTGCTTCCCCAGAACCCCGGGGGGGAGAACAGCAATTGTAACCTTCGTGCTCTCATTTTGCGCCTCATCCTCCGCTACTTGCCATGCGAGGGCTAGGTCTTCATCCTCGCACTCTTGCTCGAAGCCCTCGGCTTCGACCTCAGCAATAAGTTCCTTCTGGACCTCCCAGGCCAGGGCGGCATCAGCACCAACCGAGGGCTCGCTCACGGACTCCGCATCAGAAACGTGCTCCTCATTAGCCGAAGAGTCCCTCGACATGTTTTGGGAATCGCTCTCGGACGACATTTTTTATCACGAAATGTGCCTAAGATTTCGAAAGCTTTCTACGGGCTCTAGCGCCTAATCTAAGGCCACAGGACGACACTTACTAAGAACTTTGAAGAAGGAGGGACTGACCTTTGAAAGCAGCGGATTCGACCGAAGGCTTGAGTTTCTCTCTCTAGAAATTTTGGCAAAGCTTCGCTAAGGGTGTTGGATGCGTAAAGAAGGAATGGCATTGGCTTGGGGTATTTATAGGCTCCCAGATCCGGGCTTGGGCCGAGATCCGGGCTCCCAGCGGCCAAAGCCATCATTACGCGCCGTGTTTTCACCCAACCGGTGACGCCGCCCACGGGAAGCCAATCGTCACGCGCCACGTGTCCTCCTCCCCCAACGGCTATATCCCGCCGATACATATTCCAACGGCTATATTTCCAACGGCTATATTCTGGAAGCCCTCGGGTTTTCTACTTCACTCCACTTCATCAAGGAGAGCCTCCGGGTACACTTACCCAGAGACGCCCCCGGGTTGTGCCCCACACAGCACATAACAGACGCCTTCGGGATCACCCCTACAGAAGCCCAAGACTTCATGACAGGCCTCCCCTCGGGGATTCCCCCTCAGCACTGTGAGGACCGACCGGGTAGCCCCCGGGGGCTATGCCTCATTGACGGATAGCCTACGGCGCACAGGTAATGGGAGCCCTCGGATATCCCCATCACCAACTAATCAACAAGCAGGGGACCCCCCGGTGACAATTCAAATACTGCCCCCATCCTTCACGCCCTCGATCCCCAGATTGAGGGGCTCCCCTTCGGCACCCCAGGACATCAATAGCAAGCCTTCGGCTAATCACCACATGAGCCCTCAGAACAAGGAGAGCCTTCGGCATTACCGTTATTCTCCATTTTTGACCAAGGTTTCACATTTTCGATTCATCGTTGGGGGAATTCGGTGCACTCTTTTTCCCTCATTAGGATTTTTTCCCCCAGGGTTTTTCCTAATGAGGTTTTTAACGAGGCATCCCCCCAAAATGAAACGAAAAGCGTCAGCCTTCGGCCCACAACAGCAACGCAACTACTCTACTCCTTTTCACCACTTTACAAGTGCCTCAAGGAGTGGGGGACTGGAGAACCCCCTCGGGAAAATCATTAAATTACAAAATTGGTGAAAAATTCCAACAAACGGCAAAGCAAGCCCTCAAGTCCCGACATGTGGGTAACTAAGGGACTGCCTTCGGCAGGGACATGAAAGCAACAACTCCTCACCAACTTCAGAGATTACGACAGGACAACATCAAAGGGCAAGCACAAATTACTCCTTTTCCCTCAAGTACCTTTCGGCAAAAGGAGTGAGGGACTCCTGATGGAGTATATGGCCCGGGAACCCCCGGCCCACAGACTCCTACTACTCCAGTAAAGACCCAACAGGCCCAGAAGGCCCAACAGGCCCAAATCATGGCGCCCAGAGTACCAAGCAGCCCACAGCGCACCAGGGGTGCCTTCGACCCCCTGGCCGAAGACTCTAAACTCTCACAGAACGGGTTTCTCAAGCAAACTAAGAAACTGGGAGAAAACGGCGAGAACAGTAGCCCTCGGCACCAGGAGCCCTCGGCACCAGGGTGCCCTCGGTTTGAGGAGCCCTCGGCTACTGCTCTATAGCCGAAGGCACCTCACTCGACAAGATCTCCTCTTCACGCGCGTACAGATCACCGTACCCTGTACAACGTCCCATCCAACAGCCACATTACATGCGGCCACATGCAGTTGTCAGCGCCAACCGGATGAGGTGACCTCTCGGCCAATGGATGCTTGACACGTGTCCCTGTCCGGCATTTATTGCTACTATAAATAGCACCCCCTTTTCCCCGTTGTAGACCACGACATTCATACTGAATACACTCTCTCTCTTACTTATGCTCTGACTTCTCTCTAAGTTATTCTCAGCAATAACCCCTCGGATACATACCCCCGGGTACACTATCCATCAAAAATATATATAGCTAAATTTCTCATTGAAGGATATAATAGGAATGAAAACATAATTTTATTTATTAAAAAAATGTGTGACTGTATTTAGCAAAAATGTGGCTGTATTTAGAATTTTGTTTCTCTATGTTTGCTGTACTTCTTTCTAGAATACTACTACCGCGGGTACCAATACCTGTTAGTGCAATATCACGTCTCACATCAAAAGTAAACAAAAAATGAAATTAATTGAACAAAACAAAAAAGTGTTGCACTCCGCCATGCCAATTTAAATAAGATATTGGAATAAAAAAAGTAAAAAAGAAATTTTGTGATTGAGACTCAAATCATGTTTGGCGATCTCGTGTTTTGACTTATTAGCCTTATCAGCTAACTTTTTCATCAAACATGAAACTTTTTTTCATAAATCAACAGAATCAATCAATAGAAACACTTCAGACAGAACTTCCTAAATTTCAGTATAATCAGCCGATCCAACCTATTTCAGTGTTACCAAACGTACTCTTTACGTAAACAAGAAAAAAACATTGATCACATTTTTATTACTTTAAAAAAATGACAAAGAACCGGCATGTAAAAGAAAATTATTCTCTCCGTCCCACTAACAATGGGGCAAGAGGGAGTGACACACAAATTAATAAAAAGTGGTTTATGTGGTTGATATTGAATTGATAAAGTAAGAATAAATTAAGAATGATTTAGAGTCACACAAACTTTAACAAATTTGGTATAGGACAATCTTAGTGAGACTGACCGATAAAGTAAAATGGGACAATCATAACGGGACGGGTTAATAATAAAGTTTAGTTTTACGCAGCAGTAGGAAAATGAATCATTGCCATGGACTTATTCCACACGGTTCGTTAACATATTGGGCCCATTTCTAATTCTCAGTTTCAAATAAAGCCCAAATTCTCTTCACAGACATCTTTCTTAAATACATACAGACCATTATTTCCACAAGTTTTCTTCGGCTCTGGCCATTCCACAACTTACAGTTCTAGCATATTCTTCAGCAGGTATTTCCTCTTCTACCGTCTTCGCTACTTCATTTTCCAACCTTCTCATTTTTTCTCAAAACTAAAAGTATTCCTTGTTTCAGGTACAAAGATATGAAACACAATTATTGCCTGTTTTTACCATTTATGAGCTTTTAGATCTATGTTCAAATTTCCAAATCTGAAACACTGCCCTTCACATATTCTACTCGACCTGTATTTTCTAAGACCTGTATCAAACACTACTCTACAGAAAACAGAATCTATGTACTTCAGACTTTGTGTATTTTTACTTGAAAAGGAGAAATTTAGCTATATATATTTTGTTCCTTTTTTGATCTGTTGTTTCCAGTTGTATATAGATATATATGTATCTATATTAGGAGTATACATTTTTTTACTTCACTTTAGAAAAATTTCTATCTGTTACATTAAGAAGTCTGTTTTTTATCAGCTTTTTTTCTTATTAATTATTGCTTAGGAAGAGAAATTTTATCGATAGACTTTTACCAAAGGAGCATCTTATTTTTCAAGTCCTTTGTATTATTGACTCCGTATCAAACAAGTTCTGAAATGGATCTCATTTATTTATAATAATAATGAATTTAACAACTAGCAACCATAAATGAAAGGGGGGATTTTAGTTTGTACCCAAATTTTAGTTTGTGCCCCTTTTTAAATCATTAATATTTGCAAAAATTAATTGTTTAAAAAATGGGGGTGGAAACTCAATTTTGGATTGAAAATTAGTATGCAAACTCCAAAAAATGTCATCTTTATCAGCTGGCTAATGTTCGGTTAATTTAGTCAGCACAGAGGTAAACTATAGCATTTGAATTTTTGAATCTTTAAAAATATTTAAGGACAGAAATTTATTTGGATACGTTTGTGATTAAGGCACCATTTCCCCCCCTAACTCAGTTTACCATTTCCACAGTTCGACTTTCCAAGTCTATGCATCGCACTATTCAATTATGTACCAAAGCTCTCTAGCGGAAGAGTCAAATCACTTGGAGTCGATAACAGAACAGCTTTAGAATGATCCCGTTTCATATATCCAGCTTCTTAAAGTCTACAATTCTTCTGGTGTTGATAATAATCGGAGGAGCAGAAGATGATACCAAGTGTTTGCAAGGTGTGAAAAGTTCATTGAGGGATCCAGACGGGAGCTTGGCCCTGTGGGACTTCCAAAACACGACATCTGGATTCATCTGCAAGTTTACCGGCGTGACGTGCTGGAATGACAACGAGAACCGTGTGATCAACTTGGCACTTCAGGATATGAACCTTGGTGGCGTGGTCCCTGGCGCCTTGCAAAACTGCCACAACTTACAGAGCCTCGATCTGTCTGGAAATGGACTCTCTGGTACTATACCTTCTCAAATTTGCCATTGGTTGCCTTATTTAGTCACCCTAGATTTATCAAACAATCATTTGACTGGGAAAATACCCCCGGATCTGGTTAGTTGCCAGTATTTGAACAGCCTCGCACTTGACGGCAACAAACTGACCGGAAATATTCCCTCCCAGTTGTCTAGTTTGGGTAGGCTCAAGAAATTTTCTGTGGCAAATAATGACCTTTCTGGTAGGCTACCATCATCTTTCGACAGTTCAGATCCGTCTGTGTTTGATTTTGCGGGAACTAAACTCTGTGGTGGTCCAGCGGGGAAATGTGGGGGATTAAGCAAGAAGAATTTAGCCATAATAATTGCAGCTGGGGTGTTTGGTGCTGCTGCGTCTATGTTGCTAGGTTTCGGCATGTGGTATTGGTATTTCACAAAGTCGGCAAATATGACAAAGAGAGGTTATAGTTGGGTTGGGATATTCAGAGATCACAAGCTGGCTCAAGTTGTGCTGTTCCAGAAGCCACTCGTGAAGCTTAAGTTGGTTGATTTGTTGGCTGCGACTAATAACTTTGGTGAAGAGAACATCATAAGCTCGACCAAGACTGGAACAACCTACAAAGCGGTTCTTCGTGATGGATCTGCTTTAGCAATCAAACGGCTAAGCTATTGCAAGGTGGGTGAGAAACATTTTCGGGTGGAAGTTAACAGGTTAGGCCAACTCAGGCACCCAAACTTGGTCCCACTTTTAGGGTTCTGCACGGTTGAAGAAGAAAAGCTTTTGGTCTATAAACACCTCTCTAACGGGACCCTGTATTCTGTCTTACATGGAAACCCAAGCATGTTAGATTGGCCAACTAGGTTTAGAATCGGTTTAGGAGCGTCCAGGGGACTTGCTTGGCTACATCACGGCTGCCAACCCCCAATCATACACCAGAATTTCAGTTCTCACGTTATTTTGCTGGATGAGGATTTTGATGCTAGGATAATGGATTTCGGATCGGCTAGGCTGCTTATGTCAGCAGCAACATCATCCAATGCAAATGAGAGTAGCTTTGTGAACGGGAATGCCGGTGAGTTCGGGTATGTGGCCCCAGAGTATGCAAGCACAATGATCCCTTCAACAAAAGGAGACACATATAGCTTCGGGGTGGTGCTTTTGGAGCTGGCTACGGGTCAAAAACCGCTTGAAGTCAGTGTTGCTGAAGAAGGGCTCAAAGGAAACCTTGTTGAATGGGTCAACCGGCTCATGGGATCAGGCCGTGTAAAAGATGCAATCGATAAGTCTTTATGTGGAAAGGGGAATGACGAAGAGATTGTGCAGTTCTTGAGAATCGCTTGCCATTGTGTGGTTTCACAACCCAAGGATAGGTGGTCAATGTATCAGGTCTCTGAGGCTTTGAAGAAAATGGCTGCTGCTCATCATGGTGTGTCTGAACAATATGATGAATTTCCTCTTATTCTCAACGAACAAGATATGAAGAGTTCTCCTATGCTACAAACCTGAAATGTTTTGTAAAATACTGTAACTGAAAATTGGTGTACTAATTATTCGTATGGCTGTTTACTATTCGGTTCATGAACCTTTCCGTTGTTTAAAACTTGTAGCATCAAAGCAACTGGGGGTTTCTGTGAATCTGTATTTCTTATTCATACCCTCTAATCTTGATTCTTGTGCATTGTTGGATATAGTAGACTTTGTAAGTTTATCAAATGTCAAAGTTATTTAAGAAGAATGAGTACACAGAAATGTGTGGCTACACGTTCATCCAGATGTGTTATCTATGCAAGACTTTGAATGACTTGCACAAATTTGGACTTCAATGGAAAATGCTCGTGCTTACAATTTGATCTCCTGTTGAATGTTCAAATACGTTTGACCTTATAGTCTGAAATGACTTTGTCCTCCTTTGACATGTCAAAGAAATCAAATCGCTTGTGAGCTGTTGGTGAGTCTCTAGGTCAAAACTCTATTTGAGTTTGGTCAAATTCGAACTCGAGATGGCTCCTCTAGCAATTGAGCCGAGCTCGATCTCAATTCATTTTAGCTTGTGACTTCGTGAGGCATAATACATATTCATAAATAAAATGAATAAATAAATAAGTAAATAAATAAATAAATAAATAAGTATGTATACATACATATTATATATATTTATTAATTGATTGTAAAATAAGGGATAAGAGTTGGAAAATCTTATTCGAACTCAAACCTATAAAATAATGAGTAAAGCTTTAGCTAAGGAAAATAAGAGCTTTGTACCACACAATCTGAAGAGTTCATTGCAAAAGGTTCTTGTGAACGTTGTGTCATGATTACTGGCGGAACTAAGGGGTGAACTTAGACCATGACCCATCTCAAATTTAAAAAAAAATGACTTAACTATTATTGTAAAAATATTCATGTAAAATTTATCTAAAAGAAATTTTGTGCCAACACGGTGACGGTTACTTTTCTACGCCCGTGGTCACGATTACTTTGGCAATAGTGACATAAAATACATAAAGGTACTCAGCAAAATGCAACAAACATTTGTAGTACATTGATGGTAATCTGATGGCACTAAAGTCGTTGTGTGTCTTAAAATAATATTCAATACAACACTTATACGTGGTATAGTGAAGTAAGGTTCGTATCCACAGGGAAATGAATATTTCTCTTTTGTAGAACTAGTAGCAAAGGGGAGTTTTAAGGTTGTTGTGGAAACTTAAATGTATTTCAGCACTAAGATAAACGACTTATGTGGTTTATTTAATTAGAGATGGAGACTTGGTTTTGCTTATATCCACTTAATGAAATATTCGTCGATCTTGGTTATATCTTTAACTATTGTTGGGATATTGATCCAAGGGCCCAATACCCGGATCAAAAAGGCCCAGGATACCCGGCCCAAACAACGGGTCCATTGCTCTATGATAAGCAGGCCCAATAAAGAATCCATACCGAACGGGGTTCGGTCCGAGTAAAAACCGGCCCAGAAAGAAGAGATACCGAACGGAGTTCGGACCGTATGTCATACTTGGGCCAAATTGACAGCATCATCCTCAAGGTCCAGCATCCCGTTCGAGCAACGGGCAATCAACAAGTGGCCAGGTGCAATTAATGCCAGATTGTGACATCAGCAAGTGGATGCATGGATGATCAATTCGGTGGAGCAACGGTCAATCAGCATAGAGCAGCCCATGCTCTCCATTAGTATAAATGGAAGGTTTAAAATCATTGTAAGTGTTAGCATTTCAATACTCAAGCTCTAGAATAACATTATAACTCTTGTTTCCTGTATTAAAGTACTGTTCCGACATACCGATCGGGGAGTTTCCTTGTAATCAGACAGGCTAATTAATACAAGTGGGCTTCTGGGTATTAGTGAATTCATCTTTTATATTTTGTTATACACTTTGATTCTGGTCCATTCCTGATATATCCAAAGTTCATGTTGGGCTTTTGGATCTGCGGGACTTACCTTCAACTTTGGCGCCGTCTGTGGGAAACTGTTCAAAAAGTTTCACATTCAATCATCCCAAAAACAATTATTTTTTAAAATGGTCAGAATCAGTTCTTATCACACAAACGATGGTTCGCGCCATCACGGAAGGAGCCACACCCCGGGAAATCAAACCCCTCAGGGACAATCCAGCCGAGGATCATATCCTCATTTTGATGGGGACTTTGTAATTCTTGAAGCTCTACGGAGGAATCCTCAGGCCATGCGAGAAATGGCCCAAGTCATGCAGCACATGGCAAACGAGGAAGAAGGAGGATCCAATTTTACAGGGGAAACTCCACACACAGAAACGACCACGACGTCATCCCGCTCGCGGGCCCATCGGGATAATCGCTGTGGCGCTCCACCAACAGTGCATCACATTCCCAGTGACCGGACCCCGATCGGGTCACAAGCCAGGGGACCTACTCCTATTGGTCGTCATTTCCAGTATGCCGAACGGGATAATACTAGGGCCGCTCAAAGGCATTGGGATCAGGAGTATACAGATTTGAGGGCTCCACCACCGCCCCCTTTGACGGCCCAGGAGGAAGAAATGGCTGAAATGAGGAGGCAGATGAACGAGATGAGAGATCAGATGAACAGGGCGCCTGTACAGCCTGCCCCAATTCAGCTCGGGATTACTTCCCTTTTCACCAGGGAAATTATGTATGCGGATATCCAGGGAGGTGCCAAACCACCGACCGGTCAAATTTATGACGGGGTGGGAGATCCCCATGTGCATTTAAGAAGTTATCAAGGAGGACTCATGCTACTAGGAGCACCTGAGGCTGCTATATGCCGGTTGTTTTTCAGTACGCTCAGAGGACCCGCCCAGGAGTGGTTCGGGACCCTGCAACCTGGGTCGATCAACAGTTTCGCCGAGTTGTCGACGTTGTTCTTGGCCCAATTTGCTTCCAGTGCCAACCCAAAATGGCACTTCAGCTACCTGACCAGCGTGAAGCAGAATTCCAATGAAACCCTCAATCAATTCTTAAAAAGATGGAGGGATGAAACTCTGACAGTTGGAAACATGACGGATGATACCGCCATCACCCTATTCACAAACGCTCTCCGAACGGGAGAGTTATACAAGGATTTGAATAAGAATCCAGGTACACCATATGCCGATGTGTTAGACAGAGCTCGCAAGCATGGTGCCCTGGAAGAGAGATTATGATCAGGGACAAGGTCGTTGTGCCTACTGCCCCAATCACGATGGCCGATCGGTTGGGTCCTACCCCAGTGGCCGCTCTACCTCCTAAGCAAGGGCGATTTACTCCCCTGGTCCTGTCCGTGGCAACCATTTATCATAACGAGAAGGACAACATTCCCCTTCCGACTGATTCTTCACAGTATATGGGAGCAGACGAGTCTGCTTTTTGTAAATATCATAACAGGAAAGGTCATGCCACCAACGCTTGTAGGGCACTACAAATGGCTATTGAGGACTTGATCCGGCGGGGTCACCTGGGCAAGTATGTGAGTAAGGATCCAAGTGCGGTAGGCACTTTAAAGCCGATCAGGAAACCCAACAGCTGGCGACGGGATGCCCAACGTGATGCCCAGCCCCAGAATGACGTATATATTCCCCCCAGGGATGAACCAGAGGGCTCGGGAGGCCCTGGAAAGAAACCTCGAATGGAGGTCAAAGTTATATTTGGAGGCGGGGAAACGGGGGATTCGAACGCCGAACGGAAAAGGTTCGAACGAAATCTTTATGTAGGATCCATCTCCACCCCCACCCCCCTAGAAGAAAGGAAGGACGGATCCGATCACGTTCGGGCCGGCTGATTTACCCAACTCACCAAGCCCACACAGGGATGAATTGGTGGTGAGCATGTGCATTGACAATGCTTTGATTCGCCGGGTACTGATCGATACCGGGAGCAGTGTGAATGTGTTGTATTTATAATCATTCGAGAAAATGGGCCTACAGAGAAATCAATTGACCCACCTAAGAACTCCACTGGCGAGCTTCACTGGTAACTGTATTGAGGCTGAGGGGACCATCCAATTGTTAGTGGAAATTTGGGACGAAATGCACAAGGCATCACTCCGAATGACGTTCGTGGTGGTGGATATAAAATGTGCTCACAATGCCATCTTGGTCCGACCAAGATTGGAAGATCTGGAGGCAATAGCCTCTGTCCGCCACTCGTGCATCAAATTCCCCACGGACACCGGGGTTGGGGTGGCCACAACTGATCCGGCGACAGCCCGAACATGCTACCGAGAGGCCCTGAAGCAGATGAACACCCGTGGAATGCGGGTTAACAGTATTGAGGTGGAGACCCACCGAACGGAGTTCGAGGCACATCCAGAACCTGCCACTCTCCTCGAGCAAATTGACCTGGATTTCCCCCCGAACCGGAAGGTAGCTATCGGGGTGGATCTGGAGGCTGACAATCGGGATGGCGTGATTGTTGTCCTAAAAAAGTTTCAGGTATTATTTGCTCGAGGGCCGGAAGATATGTCGGGTAATGACCCATAGATAATCTGTCACAAGCTTGCCGTTCGGCCTGATGCAAAACCGGTCCAGCAAAAGAAACGATATCAAGCAACCGAACAACGTGATTTCACAAAGCAGGAAGTGGCTACCTTGCTGCGAATAAAACACATCCGTCCAGTAATCCACGTCGAATGGCTATCCAATGTGGTCCTAGCTCCAAAACAATCTACTTGGAGGATGTGCGTGGATTACTCGGATCTGAATAAAGCTTGTCCCATGGACCCTTATCCAGTGCCGAGGATCGATCTGTTAGTAGATGAAATGGCCGGATGTGAATTGTTGAGCTTCATGGATGCATTCTTGGGATACCATCAGATCTTCATGCACCCAGATGATGCAGAGAAAACAGCGTTCGTTACTTTGGATGGTGTGTTTTTCTATATTGTCATGCCATTCGGATTAAAGAACGCAATGACAACTTTTCAGAGGATGATCGGGATGTTGTTCAAAGAAGTGTTGGGAGTCACAATGGAAGCTTATGTTGATGATATCCTGATCAAAATCCGGAAGAAGGAGAATCATATCCTGGACATAGAAAAGGTGTTCAGGATAATGCAGAAAGCTAACATGAGGCTGAATCCCAAAAAATGTGTTTTTGCTGTGAGAGGGGGCAAATTTTTGGGATACATGATGAGCGAGAAGGGGATTGAGCCCAATCCTGAAAAGGTAAAGGCAATTATGGATATGGAGGCTCCTAGAAACCTCAAGGAAGTGCAGAGATTGACTGGTCGGTTAGCAGCTCTAAGCAGATTCCTATCCAAGCTAGCCGATCGA